GCTCACCCTCGGGATCGTGCCTGAGTGCCCTTGATGGAAATTGGGGTACCAGGTCCCCATGGTCAGGAATCATATCCTGACCAAGGTGGTCAGAGGGCCTTGAACCTAGAGTGTAAGTGTTTTGACCTGTGCTAATCCCAGTCGCTTTCCCACATCCGTAGTCCCTCCATGGGTGACTGTGATGCACGGATCAACCATGATTTTGTAATGAGTTTCCTCTGTTTTCCAGGCTGTTCAAAGTAGCCGCACGGCTGGGAATGCTCTGGACACTGTGCTGACCTCATGCTGAGGTCTTCCGAATCCAAATGCTTTGTCTTTGCATCTGACCTGTTTAAGGCGCCATAAAAGTGTGTCTAGGAGCCCTGGTGGTATAGGGGTTTCATGCTGAGCTGAGATCCACAAGGTTGGTGGTTCAAAACCACCAGTCGCTTTGAGGGAGAAAAATGAGGCTCTCTACTCCTGTAAACAGTTACAGTCTCAGAAACCCACAGAGGCAGTTCAATCTTGTCCTTAGGGTCACCATGAGTCAGAATGACTCGATGGCAGTGAGTTTGGCAAAGGGGTCTCTATAAAATATGTTTGCAGTGGGGGTCTCTCTCCCCACCCCTCTAACAGGAAGAAGAGGGAAACTGAGTTAGGGGGGTGTTGTTCTAACAAGACTCCAGATGAGAGCAGCAGCACCTTTGCCCGAAGGGGAAATTCCTCATGGCAAGAGCTGCGCAGTAACAGCCAGGTGGACGGGCCTGTGTAGGGCAACAAGGAGTGGTAGGGACTGCGGCATGCCTCATGTTGAGCTCCCAGGTGGCTTGGGGTGCTTTGGTCTCGTTGTTAGTCTGCCTCGTAGCGACCTCGAGTGTGCAGAACACAGCTGCTCCACAGGGCTAGGACCTTTGGGAGGCAGATGGTCAAGCCTGTCTTCCAAGGTGACGCTGGGTGGATTCCAATGCCAACCTTTTAGCTTGTAGTGAAGTGCATACCATGTACACCACCCAGGGAGCCCCGGTGAAGCAGTGGGTAATACGTTGAACTGCTAGCCTAGAGGTCAGCAGTTCAAAACCACGGGCTGATCCGCAAGAGAAAGGCAAGACTTTCTACTCCCCTAAAAAGTTGTTTCAGTGTCCGTAGGGCACAGGGGTGGTTCTCCTCTGTCCTGTACGGTTGCTACAAGTCAGAATCGACTCAACGGTAGTTGAGTTGGTTGGGTTGGGTTGGGTTGGGTTCGGTAGGAATTCCCCAGTTAACGTGACCAATATTGTTAGTGCCATGTAAGTAAGAGGGACTTAGAACGTGAAGGTCTGAGGTCCACTCCCCATACCACCACTTACTCTGTGCTCTTAGACGAATCATTGCCTCTTCTTGAGCTCCAGTTTGCTCATCTAGAAAGTGGAGCCCATAAATTCTCCCTTTGAACACACGCATCTTGGGTTCAGTCGAGAAAGGCCACTGGCACACAAAAGGTTTGTGAGCTCAAAGAGAATGATTGTCATTATTGCTACCTGGTTGTAGTGAGTTACGCATTGGGCTGCTAACCACAAGGCCAATGGTTCGAATCCACCAGCGATTCCACGGAAGGAAAACGAGCCTTTCTGTTGCCGTGAACAGTTACAGTCTCAGAAACCCACAGAGACCATTCTACGCTGTCCTACAGGGTCGCCATGAGTCGGCATTGACTCCTGGCAGTGAGTTTGGTTGGCGGTTGGTCCTTCGGCCTGGTGTGGTCCGCTGCTTCCCCTCAGAGCTCATCCCTGCCACAGCTGGTGCTAAAAGTAGAAGAAGATGCTGACCTCCTAAACACTTGCCTCTGCATCGGGGGTAAGAGAGCATGCCAATGAGAAAGACTGGTCTGCTAGGCCTAGTATTTTCGGCACTTTTTAAAACCAGGAATTTTTCATTGAGAGAAGCAAGAATCAGCAAACACACTGAAACCATCCATGGAGAAATTTGAAACGCATCTCTTTGGAAACGAATGAGAATAAATGTCCCATGGAACAAAGACTGTGACATGTGGGCTAGG